CGCTTGTCAAGAGGGTTTGCGCGTCTATTTAGACTCAGTGAGACGCATTTGTGTGGATTTTTGCACATGCATTTTTTAATACAGGACGCTTCTTCGCTATAAACAAAACAACTTCTCTCGCCGAAAACGGTGTCCTTGGGCATCACGGGAACTAACTTCGGTGTTCAATTATTAAATGTTTGATTGGACAGGCAGTGAGCTCTTTTGAAATCGCTTCTTTCCATTCAAAACAACTCGAAAAATGTGGCACACAAACCGCTATGTAGTAAGAAAATAAGGACAAGAATTTTAACAGCTGTATTTTTACTTAGTATAACGGCGTACTATTTTATACACAAGTGTAAACGATAGCCTTAAAATCTGGCCGCAAATCTCAATCGACTCAGGAACGGGACCCAAAAATGGACATTACAAACCTTTTCAAAGAGGTAAATATTGTTGTTACGGCTCTGTCCCCTTTTACCAGTTGCGATCTCTGTTGCGATGCACGAAAAATCTTAGTTTCGACAGCCAATAGATTTTCGTTTGGAGTAGTGAAGAAATCATATATGTTTGGCTCTACGCCTTGTCAGCTTTGGCCGACATCTAGGTGACATGTCCCCTTTGTTAAAAGGAATCTAAAATAAGGAAGTCATTAGAGAAACATTTCGTGACACGAAGCAACCTGGAAGTGATATACCAAGCAAAACTGAGTTTTCGCTAGCAAATAAAACAGCTCTGAAAGTTCACCCTCGCCTTCTAAAAGAGCGTGATCAGTATTTGTAATGGCTGACAGAAATAGCGGAGTGCATCGACTTTAAGCGCAATCTCATTGTTGAATCACAGTGCCCGGGAATCATTGTTCCCGGTAAGTACTTAAAATTTGCGGCATAATTTAAGTTGACACCATCACGTTTTTAATTATCAGGGCCGGGAACTGTAGAATTTTAAACAACCGGGCCCAGGAGCTCCGGTTTTAGGCTTGGCTAAAGCTATATACTATTTTCTGGTAAAGGTGGCGGAGTCTCGAGCAAGTTGGCGGGAATCTCACTTCTTCCCGCCATTTCATCGACTTGAAGGGTATTCATCAAAGTTTGATCGTCTTGAACTCCACTGAACCGATCATTCACCGCCTTGAAGATTTTTCCCTCGCACTGCGTTAGCAAGAATGGTCAAGAATGCCAAAACTAGTAGAAACCATGACCGTATACCTTTTCCTTTCCGAGCCAAACCATCGACCTTGGCGCCAAATGTGATCGATTTGGTCGGTGCATAGATACTTCAACAATTGTATCATGAATAAACTGTGCTTGCTACGGTATTATGTTTCGGTCTGTAAGACAATTCAATCGAAATATTGCGTCTGGTTTGCATAGAATCCGAACAGTGCAGCTGAATACGGATAATGGTTCAAATATCACCATTCTCTCCGGCGCTCAGCCTTGAATGTTGTTTCTTACAATAACTGCAGAATTTCTCGCGGGCTCATTGGCTAATTTTTATTGTCGATAAGCGGACAGACTCATGAATTTATAATTTATGCGATGTGTCAACGAGTGAGAGCGAACTGTTATCGCAAAAAACAAATAGAAGTCAGTTTTTAATGCGTCTGTCCTGTTATTGAAAATAAATTTCATCATAACATTGTCAAAGTAGTCTGCAGATCCACTCGGCTGTCGGCTCGTGGATCCACACCTACTTTGGCAATGTTATGACGAAATTCATGATCAATCACAGGACAGACGCATGAAAAACTGACGTCAATTTGTTAAATCGCTGTCATAATAATTAAACATTCGCACTGCATCACCTTCTTCTGTCTGGTCTTCATCTCTTACTCCTATGGTGAGATGCGTGACAAGTCGATGACCGCAAAGTACACGGCAATGACAGATTCTTCGATCTTGTAACACAACTCAATGAGAACCCATACCCTGCAGCGAATTTCAGAATCGCATGAATCTCGTCATGCATGACGTTACGGTGTATATGAAGACATGATTGATCATCGCAGTTATATACACACAAGTTAAGCAGTTGCGAAATTAAAGCCTGAAAAAATTCAGTCCTGAACAGGTTTCAAACCCATGACCTCTGCGATACCGGTGCGGTGCTCCACCAGCTGAGCTATCAAGCCAACTGGGAGCTGGTCACGTTGTGAGTTTGTAATATACCCGTAAGTGGCTTCAGAAACAGCTGGCACACAAATATAAACTGAACTCAACAGTGGACAAAACAAGGAGGTTTTCTCCCAAAAAGAGACTCCTAGTATATAAACCATTACATAGGCTCCGTAAGGCTGATTGACTGCAGAATTAGGTTCAGATTCGACTTGAAGAACACGACAGAAATACCCTCAAGACAAACATAGAGAACAGTGGCGATAAAAATAGAGACAAAGAGATGGCGTTTACTTGTATTTCGTTTACTGAAACTGAGAGGAAAGTTATAAAAATCGAATATTACTGACTTAGAATTCCTTTGAAAAGGGAATCAGTACTGGAATTACTGACGTCAGTTTCACGCACTTTATTGTTTCCTAAAGACTACAAATGATAGCAAGCAAATTGTCAAAAGAACGGCTGTACTTAAACTGTTCCGTAAAGTTTATCTACAGTATGTTGAATCAAATAAATAGCAGTATTGAAATTAATATTATTTACACGGTTTATATGACGACCGAACAATTCTCATGAATGAAAATTACAAAAGTCGAGTTTTCGAAATATAGCTTCAAATGACGCCAAAGGAATTGTCAAAAGAAGGTTTAGAAACTGTTCTGTAAAGATATTGAATCAAATAGAAAGCAGTATTGAGAAAAATTAATATTATTTACAAGATTTAATACGAAGTATGACTTCCAATATAAGAAAATCACAAATGGCGTTTTCATAATAACTACAAAATGATTGTAAACTCAGTGTTCAAAGAAAGGTTTAAGACCGTTCTGCAAAGTTTCTTTATAGTGTACATTGAATGCGATTCATAGCAGTTTTAAATTAATGCTTTTACAAGTTTCAGGTCGACTGATCCCCTCGACTGTTAAGAAGTATCATCAGTTACGCCGCTGTTTAAAAAAAATCATTTATCTAAAGAGAGTCTTAAGTCCGTCACGATAATTACTACTGAAAATGAAGCAGATGCAAGGATTTATGACACAATTTATGTGAATCATAAAAAAGGCAACATGAAAAAAGTATCGGAAGCTACAAGACCCTATGTCCGATGCAAACAAGGAGAGTAACCAATCGATAGAGAAGGGCAGCCAGCATTGTGACGATAGGTTTTTCCTGCAACACTGCAAATTTTCGGACTGAACGGACACTTGAATTGACAACTGGGGGAATCTAACTCTGGAGAGCACTGCTTTGCTGCGGGAACGGAAATTCGTCACAATTTCCTGGTACACGAGGATCTACTTCAATGGTCTTCACTACGGA